TTTTTTTTTAACTTTTCATTGATTCTTTGTGGATTTCATTCATGCATCTGGATGTCACTCATCTCTCCATCACCTGCTTCTATCCTCTGCCCTTGCAACCCCCCTAAACTAAATTTAAACGCAAGACCAGACAAACAAACAAATAAAACAAATCTCAGCATGGAAGCTGTAATGCGGCCCACTGAATCATATAGTTTACCCTTTAGTTGATATATCTTTACTAATAAGTGTTCATCACAATGAGTCATTGGTCTGGTTTGAGGTCTCTGGCTTCTGCTACACCCTCAATACTGGGCCCTCCCTGGGGCTCTTCTTGGATATCCTATTGTTCCCTTGTATCATGGAGATCCTGCAGCTCTGGATTTGTAGGTTTGGAGGACCATGGATTCTAGGCCCAACACTGGACAAGCTTTTTTTTTTTGGCTACCTAGCAATCATTAATCCCACTTCCAGTAACAGGGTCTTAGGGATCTACCCTTCCACCCATTGACAGGCTACGAGGACTGGGGGAGGCCTACCTTCTTTAATTACAGAGATGGACAGGTGACCTAGGCCTCAGACAGAGCAGGGCCTCGTGTTCTCATTGCCAGGGGTTGCTTAAGGGATCTGTCCGAGAAGCAGTGAGACTTCTGTGTGAGCACTGCAGAAAGAAAACCGTGCTTCCCCATGCTGGGCTTGTTCCTGCTTTCTGCCGTCCCCATCTTCCTACTATAGAGGTCAGAGTGGCTGCAGATGCAGCGGCTCAGTGCTAGAGGGATTTAACGGTAGCTCACTGGGTCAAGAATCAGCAGACCAGAGATGGATACTCACTACGTCACAGTTCTATCTCAAGGCTGGAGTCTTCCTACTGAAACTCTCAGCCAGGGGCTGTGGAGGTGTCTTGGTCAGTCAAGAACCTGCGGTACAAGCAATGGACTTGAGCTTGGCTCCCTAACACCTATCTGTAAGTAAGGTGTAGCAGCTCATCGAAGAGGTGTGAAGATCAAAGCCCAGATCCCAGAACCCAAGAGATGCTGAGTGGGTGTGGCAGCTTACCTATAATTCCAGCATTCAGAAGGTGGAGATAGGGAATCCTCAGAGCAAACTGGCTAGACCGACTAGCTATGCAGAAACTCTGTGTTCAACTCAGAGATGCCTCCTCAATGGATAGGATGGAGAGCAATGGAGGGAGATGCCCAATGCCTATCTCGGGCCTTCACACGTATGTGAACACATATACATACATGCACACGCATACAACACACGCTCGAGGAAAAACTGAAGAGTACATTTAAAGTAATAATGGAAGAAAACACAAAAGCCCTCATGTACCCCATTTAATTCACTGTTCAAAATCCAGGTGGCACAGGACCCTGAAATCATGGTAGAGACTGAGGATCATGAGTATGTCCAGAGGCACTGAAACCCAGAGAGCAATGGGGCACAGGGTTGGAACGCTTGCATCAGTCATTCCTGATGGGAGCCAGCCTCTGGAGCTCACTGTGCCCCGGAGAATACCTGGCGTTGTTGTTTATATTTATTTATGTGTGAGTGTGTGTGTGTGTGTGTCCCCGCTAGAGTGTGGCTGTCAGGTGGTAATGTGACAGCTGTTTTCCTCATTCCATAGCATAGGTTGCTGGAGGAAGACTGAGCCAGCGCATGAAGCTTGGCTGGAGGTGGCTTTACCAGCTGGACCATCTCGACTGCCTATTCGGTGACACTTGCTACCATTGCCCGCAGCAGTCCCAGATGACACCGTTTTATTTTATTGTAGATGAGGACAGTGACTCTTACCACATTCCCAAAGGGCTTTACTGGAGGAGAGAAGGTGTAGGGAGAAGGGACAAGAGCCAGGATCCAGCCACATGGACGATGACAGGTCACCCAGGGGCCCTGCTCTCTAGGCCCAGCACCCCGTACACAGGGAAGTCAGCAGCCACAGACACTGGCATTAACTGGCACTCAGCAGGTATTTGTTGAATGGAAACCAGCAGGAAAGTTATAACAAATCATACTTTACATGCACATTTTCGGGAATATTTTCAGGAAAATGCTTAATGTGTGAACAGCTAATCTGCATTTTCATGTCCTGACAGATGGCCCATATTAACAGAGTTCTGAGCATGGTTAAAAAAAACTAAATAAATAAATAAGAGAAGAAAGAAAGGGAAGAAAAGAAAAAGAAAACCTGCAAGTATTCATCGAGTGGGTACCATGTACAGTGTGTCCTCCGACTATCTCATTTATTGTTAGAAAGAAAAAGAGATAGCCTGGAGACATTTCCATTTGTCAAAACGTCCCTAAATATTGTCCATAGGAAGGAAATGACCCTCAGGACTTGCATAGGTAGAGAAGAGCATTTTTCTCTTGGGAGATGGCTCTAGGTCCCAAATGTCTCAAGACAAACTGCATCAGCACCTAGGGGACTGCTGGTCAAAAGTGCAGTCCCCCAGCTGGGCAGCGGTGGCGCATGCCTTTAATCCCAGCACTCGGAAGGCAAAGGCAGGCAGTGAGTTCGAGGCCAGCCTGGTCTACAAAGCTACACAGAGAAACCCTGTCTCAACGTCCTCTCCCCCGCCCCCCCCCAAAAAAGTGCAGTCCCCTCCCAGCCTACTCTTGCAAAATCAAAACTTCTATAGCAGGGTCCCAGAATCTGCATTCAAATCGTCTTTCAGAGGGTTGAAAAGCTGTGCCTGGTACAATCAGTTTGTTCACCCATGGATCTCTCCAGTGCTTGGGGACATGGAGTACAGCCCCATGGGAATTGGCCTTTTGGGGAAAGAAGCCCTGACCCTAGGCTCAGAGGCTGAAGGAGGCCAGGGTCTGGTGAATCGGCATCATCGTCCTTGAGGTCAGGGCCAGTTCAGGCTGTGGTAGAGGTGAGGGCGTGTCACCAGATTTTGCGTGGGAGCTTGCTGCGCCCATAGCTTCATACCCATACCTAATGCAGGTTGTAGCTGATGAACCTGGCAGGCTCCCTGGGGCTTTTCTACTGTCTAGATGGAACAACGGTCTAAAACTAATCATATCCATCTTATGCGGCCCTTGAGGGTCTTCTTTGGAAGGGATATTGCTTAACAGACTATTGGCTGGAAATCCCCCTTGGGGTGAAGATAATGACCCCCATCTCTTGCAACATTTGCACATTTCCCAAGCCTCTGTCATATGTCCCACACCACAGGGCACCCTTCAGATGCTTCTATGTCCACTTCTTCATTTAACTTGGCTTGAGACTGAGGACTTGCCGTCTCTCTGCCCGTTTCCCCAGGAAGGCATCCTCCCTAGGCCTCAGTCATTGATCTTCAGCACACTTGATCTTGGGGCTAGAGTCAATTTGCTTAGGCACACTGGTGTCCCTATGCCCTGACCACAATGATTGGCCCATGGGTGGACAGCGATTTCAGCATTCTGATCGGAGTGACCTTTGTGACTTTCAGTCATAGCTCCTATTTGGTGGTGAGGCGTGAGGAAGCCTGTGGTCCCAGGTGCTCTTGGCAGGCTTCCTATGGTTTCCCAAGGACAGCGTGACTAAGCACGGGGCCAACAAGAGGAAAGAGCCAAAAACCAAGGGCAGAAAAACTAAGGCCTGAGGGTGTCTTTGAGGCGTCATTAATATTTTCCTGGAGTCTCATTCACTCCCGAACTGAGCAAGGTTTTGTACCTATAGATACAAATGCTTGTTTTCGCTAAAAATCAGTTTGACTCAGAGTTCTGTTGCCTGGCACTAGAGATGTCATAAGACACGCTGTAATGTACCCTATCATGTTTGACCCCTCTTCTCCCCTGCTCCTCAACTGGAACCAAATATTAAATAACTGCTATAAAGCACACTGGGGCAGGTGGCAGGACTATCTGGATTCATGGCTTGTTGAGACTCCATGCCCAAAGGATATTGATTAATGGATCAATGTCAGTAGGAGGAAACCCTGTCAATGACTTGGATGAAATGGGAGACATGGTTAGCAAGTCTCAGATGACACAAGCTGGAGGAAACACTAATATGACAGATGGCAGAATCAAGCTTCAAAATTATTTTGACTGAGTGGAACAGTAATAAGGAGAAACACAAACTCTTGCATTCAGGCTCAGAAGACCAGTCTGCATGAGTAGGGTGCTGGGGAGACCCGGCTTGACAGTTGTCATAATGTCAAAGAACTTGAAGTTGGCTATGTGGACTCACACAGAGCTAAACACTGGGGTAATTAGCAGTTATTCAGGTTTAAAATGTTTATAAAGTGACTTGGAGAAGAAGGACTCTAACTTTGCCTCTACTTCCCCAGTAGGACCTAGGACAAAGAAGTAGACTTTTCCAGGAAGTAGTTTCTAGGTCCTAATGCTTCCAATAGCAGAATAAGCTACATTCCAAAACTGTTGGCTAATGGCATCAGAATGTAATGGACAAGATTCCATTGTGGGAATTTTCTTATTTAAAGTACATCGTTTTAAAGTGATTCAAGACAATGCACATAGTAGCATCCTGGGAAAACCACCAGGTTGATCATGCAGCCCAGCTCAACACCCTTAGAAGGTTGCTGCAACCTGCTACAGAGGGACCTCGTCTCCAAGGAATCCCCAGACTCCATCTGCGCTTGGGGCTCCCAGCCCATTCCACCTTCTTGTCCGGGTTGTGCCTCCTCTCCTGCTCGCTCCTTCCTGCTTCATCTGGCATCTATGCCTGCCTCTGGACTGGACGCGGCTACCATTGCTGACTTCCCTCTCCTATCTTCCTCAGGGAGCCCCCCCCCCAGTCAGAGCACGCCAGACTCCTTCCCTGTGGCTGCCCTTTGGTCCCCCACTCCTCCCTGGGTCTCTGCAGGTCCCCAGAACCAGTCTCCTGGGCTCTTTACTTTCCTCTGAACACCCCGTTTTACTTGCTAGCCCAGAGAGATGGCAAAGGTGGACGTGACCTCCTTTCGTCTTACACACTTAAGGATGAGATTTTACTAAGCTGTTACGCGGGAGCTTCGCCTAGTCCAGCGCTATGTCGACGCACATGGATGCCTGGACCCCGCTGTACTCACATGTTTCTCCATGAAGAGGTCCACCTCTTTCAGGAGCCTCTCCTGGCAGTCAGGGTGGGTAGCCAGCAGGTAGGTGATGAAGGAGAGGGTGTTAGTGATGATCTCGTGGCCAGCAATGAGGAAGAGGAAGGCCTGACCCACAACTTCATCCGTGGTTAAAGGCTTAGACATGGATGCAGGGTGGCCTCTTCTTTGGGGACGGTCCACTGTGCACTCGGCGGAGGACAGGGCTTCTGTGACCATGTCAAAGTCTTCCACGCCCACTGAGCCTGTGGCGTGCCGGGCATCCAGCACCATCTGCAAGAAGTCTCTCCGCCTCTGAGGACGAGAGAAAAAGGCGCATCAGAAACACGGGACGGGGCTGGAGGATGAGGCGGGAGGCTTCTAGACAGCTCATTAGGAGCAGGGTCTCGTCACCGGGTCATGTGAGATGGTGAGAGCCTGGTGGCCACCTGAATGACCCTCCGGACAGTGGGGAGGGGCAGACAGACACACCGGAGAAAAGATGAGGTTATTGTCTTCTTTGCCATTGCACAGACTTACGGAGCAGCAGTGGGACGATTTAACACATGCAATTTAATACTCGATGGCGAGAGTAGAGTCTTTCCTAACCCACCCTGTGTGTGTTGTATGTGTCTGGAGCCTTCAAACTCTCCTTTTGTAGTAGTTTGTAGGACAGTCACCTAGCTGTGAATATAGTCACCCTGCTGAGCTGGGGGACATCAGAATATAGCCCTCTTACTCATCGGGGTCTGGGGACCTAGCCACCTCCTCTGCCTTCCCCTCTCCCTCATCCTCCCAGCTTCCAGCGACAATCTTTTTCTGTTTCTGCGATCAGATTTTCAGCTCCCACACATGAGCATGCTGTGTTTGTCTTTCTGTTCCTGGCTTATTGCACTTAACAGAATGTCCTCCAGTTTCTATCCATGTAGCTGAAGACCAGCAGATTCCATTCTTTTTATGAGGCCAGATAGTATTCTATTGTGTGTATTACCATACTCCCTTCTCTACTCTGGGAAAGGCCATCCACCCGGGCTGATTCCTACCTGACCCCCAAATGTGCTTAAAATACAGCAAGTTTTAGAGCAGTAGAAACAGTGGGATCTCATTCTTTAAAAACAGTAAGTGTATAATCGAGAGAACTATGTGCATTCTCCATGTGAAGCAAACATAGGTCACATCTGTATTCAGCAGGTCTCTAGAGCAGGAGGAGATGGGAAAACCAAGGTCCTTTAGTTCTGATTAGCACTTTCTACACGTTTGTACCATGGGCTGAATTTACAATGGGAAAACACCTGACAGATTTAAGTCGGAGCACATGCCTACTGTTTACCATGCAAGGATGTGGTGGGCGGCTCTAAGTTTTCTCACACAGTACAAAGTCAACAGGATGGGATGGGGCATGGAGCAGGGAGCTGGCTCGCCTTCAAAGTCCCCAGACTTGGCAGCCTGCTTCCACGGAATCCCTTTTTTCTCTCCAGTAATCCCCAATCTCCTTTGAGCGGTTAAAGCCTTCTTATCATTTCCCCTACCTTCCTTATCAGTGATTTGCATATCCTTTACATTTTGGCTACCACTAATTCCAACTACAGGAGTGTTTACCCACTGCTTTGGCATTCGCAAAGTATATTCCCAGCACATCCTTCTTTGAAATGTCCTTTAATGTGATGAATGACAACCGGGATGTTGCTCTTTCCTGAAGTTTATGGGATTAAAACAGCAAGAGGAGAGAGTATCAGAACCTCCGACAGGAAAATATTATAATTTCAAAGTACTTTCCTAGTTGCAGCGTTTTCTCAATTCATTGGCTTCCGAGTTTCCATTGCATGAATAATCTATGCTCCACACATCAGCATGTGATTCCGTCTTTTAAGTCTGTCGGCATTTCATGTGTGGTTACTTTTCCTGCTCCATGAGATGAGAAGTAGCTCCAGGGTGAGGCCCGCCCCTCTCCCCCGACCCGTGCCAAGTGTTGTACTGAGCGCATATTAAATGCGAATTTGAATCTTCTACAAATCAGAGTGCAAAGCAACAGATGCCCTTGGGGACGGTGCATTGGGTTTGGCTTCAACCGTTCAGCCGCTGTTTGGAGCAAGAAGCCTTTGCTGATGAACAGGCAGTGGCACTCAAAGGTGTCTGCTGGGAGCCTGGCAGGGCTTACCACCAACGGTTACACATGCTCAGGCCAAGGAGGCACGCTCTCCGTTTCCCATCTCAACAGCAGAGAAAAGGCTGACCCTGCTCATTTTGCTGTTCAGACTTCCTGTTATTGGACAGCACCTGGGTGGCGGTTGCGGTGCCATGGCTGCAATGTCACGGGGTGAGGGCTTGGGGGGGGGGCGGAATACGGTGACACAGGGGGAATGTGACACCTGAGACTCTCTGAGTGCCTGGATCTGACTGGAGAAGCAGAGTGTACTCCTCACGGCACAGTTTAGTCCCTAAGGCCTGACTGTAGCTTTTCTTGGGTGCAGTGCGGATGACAAGACGGCTCACAGCCATAAGCACACCGTGTATTTTTCCAGAAGCAGCATGGTGGTTGGCATTCCTTCCTTTTATCCCAGCCCAGCCGGACTGCTGAAAGGGCTGGTGAAGTCTTGCAGAAATGTGTCTTAACTGCCAGCTAATGAGGCCAGGGGAAAGTCCTCTCCCTAGGGCTCCTGCCCTAGAGCGGGACATTCGTGTGGATGGGATTCTTTCATTCGCAGGGCATCATGGAGGCCGTGGGAACACTGCCCATTTAGGAGGGAATCAGGGCTGGTTTATGGTTGTATCCAAGAAAGCTACATGCCCTGATAGATGTAGGTGTCTAATCCGCCCATCGGCTAGAGCTTAGAAAAATATTTACCTTTTAACATCTGTGTGGCATTTTCGCTGTGCAAACACACATCTGTTTGATGGAATGTATACAGAGTTCAGATGGGTTCTAAGTGAGTTTTCTTAGTAACTGTATAGCTCTGACTTGACACGGGCAGCCCTGGATTTGTGGTTGGGAGGTTTTTCTCAGATCAACTCATTGTTTGAAACAAATAGCTGTAAAGTTTATAAAAGGAAAAGCTTCAGGCAATCCCAGTAATTGGCTCTTTAATAACCTCTCACCTCTTAGTCACTCAGTGCAGCAGTTTTTGAATTTTCAGCCTGGCTCTACAGCCAGTAAGTGGGTTTCAGGCATGTGTGTGTGTGTGTGTGTGTGTGTGTGTGTGTGTGTGTGTGTGTGTGTGTGTGTAAGCTTTCACAGGGCAGCCCTTTTCAGCAATGAGGAGGCTTGAAAATGGTTCTTTATCTCATGTCCTTTAGGCCTCTTCCTCATGGCCCAGAAACATATATTTGAATGAAATTGCCCTGTCTTTTCTGTCTGCTTCAGAGTGGGGCTGGGTATACCAGTTGGCCCATTTTCCCCCACCTCTAAGGGCATTCAAGTGGAGCTGATGGTGGTGTGGGTCAAGGGTTGAGAGCTTGTATGTACTTCTCTACACCTTCCCTATCTAGAAAAAGTTGCTACACAGTCCCCAGGGTGTGTAGCTGAGTAGGACAAGCTGCTGCCCAGGGCTGCTAAGTGCATCAAGCTACTAATTGACTCAGATTTCATTCTAGGCCAATGCCTTAACCATTAGGCCTTATGAATCCCTCTGAGCCACTGCCTTTGAGAAACCCCTTTTAAAGCTTCATCTTGCTCAAGGCAGTTAAGGGAAAGTCCCTTTAGTCCATTGTTTTTTCAATTTAGTAACTGTCTCTTATGCAATGAGACCATTAATAGACAGCTTTAACATGGGCAGGGGTATCTCCTGATGCTGAAGGATTATTTCTTACATTGAAAACGTCATCTACTTAGAGTCAAGTTCAACCAGTATCTACTTATCTCTACTGTGTGCCAAGCAGAGTGCAAGCCTGTACGGGAAAGAGGAAATGGGGAGCATGCTAAGCAGAGCAGGGCCCTCAACCACAGATTTTCCAGCAAGAATCTCTGTGTTGAAAGAGAGTGTGGGATTGATTGACAGTTGCCCAAACTTCTTGCTAATATTTATGCTATTCATGCTATGAATCCCCATCCTGCTACTTTTCAGCAGAAAGACTATGCTCATGAAAATTGCATGAGATACTTACTTAGAAAATTTGGGGATGGGGTGGGGCTGTTGCAACCCGTGCTTGGGTGTAATATCCAGGTTGTGTGAGACATTAAATTCTAAAGCTCACATCAGGAATAGACACATTGATGGGGACCTTCCCTTCCCTCCATCCTATTGCTTTCCATTGGCCCTAGAAAGCTCAGAACGGGAGACTCGTAGGACAGCCCCATGTGATGAGAGGGTTTGGGAGGGTGGAGAAAAGAAAGAGAGAGTGATGCCAAATTAGGTTCCATTCTGTTTCCAGGCTGCATCCTATTAAAATAGTTACCTCCTCCGCTGCTTGCTGGTCCCGTAAGGCAATCACATTCCTAATGAGTTTGTTAAAAAAGCCATTCAGTTCATCGCGGTTCTTATTGGGCAGAATCCGGGCCAATGGGACCATTATGGATGGGAATGATACTTGAAAGAGAAAAACAAAAGTGGCATTGAAGGGGGGAGTGATAATGAACCAGGGCTATTAGATTCCTGTTACTAGGAAGCAAGTGCCAGTCTTGAATCGGAGCCGCTGGGGAGGCCCATCTTCCCTCCGGACACGGGCGAGCTTCTCACGGCAGAGTGTGATCTCACTTGAGCCCAGCTCTCCATCCTGTTTCCCTGCCCACCGTAAGCCCTCATTATCTGCCTGTGCAATAAAGTGAGTCCTCTGTGTACCTGGCCTTGCAAACCCGACTTCACGCTTAGGAACCCCTATCTCCAATCTCAGATGGGGGGGGTCTTTGCAGTTCATCAGGACAGACTAGGTGGCTGGCGGTGTGTTAAGGCTTCACAAAGAAGTACATCTACTCCAACTTTCTGGCCATTTGTATCTGTCTTTCTCTGGAATAAATGTCCCCACAGCAGTCACCTGAATTGCCCCTAAGACATACTGCTGCTGACCAGGATACTGGTTCCATTCACTATGGATACTCCCCTGTCTTGCAACATGCAGCCTGGGTCAAGACACTTAATCAAATCTCCCTAAGAGAGGCTCTGGGCCCAGGGGTGAGGCCTTGCCACAGAGGCATGTGACCATTCAGACTCTCAGCCTGCCAAGGAGGCTGCACACGACCCTCTGCGTTGAGTCAAGCTGGGCTGGTAGATCCCAACGCTCACACTCAGTCCTCAGCCTGTTTAGAAGTACAGAGAGCAGGGGCCTTGCTAATGGAACCCCTTGCCTCATAGGACAGGGTGTCTGATGGCTGAAGGTGCATGGGAGGGGCAGCCTTAGCCCCAGCAGACCTCCTGGACACAAAGAAAAAGGCCGGCTGACCCCCCCACAGATGCCTACAGTTTCACTGTGCTGATGACAGAGGTGATGAGACTTCCCGCAGAAGCTGGCTCAGAAACGAGAGGGGAAACTGGTGAATGGTCTGTAATTCTGACACGCAGGAGGGTGAGGCAAGGGAGTGTTAGTTGGAGACCAGACAAGACTGTATAAACAAGACCCTGTCTCAAAAGAGGAAGAGGAGACGAGGAAGAGGAGGAGATGAAGAGATGGAGGGGGGAATGAAAAAGAATTAAGAAGGAAGCTGGCCCGGGAGTGTCTGGACTACGCCAGTATGGCACAGTGGCCGACAATTGTAGGGCTTACTCACACACACTCCAATGTTTCCATAGAAGCAGGAAGATACCGGAAGTGGCCAGAAGGAAAAGACTCCCTTGTAAAAATCAATGGACCAGTGATCAAACTGGGTGGTTTCTAGTTTAGCAGTCACTGGCTTCTGGTAGAGAAGTCCCCAGAAAAGGATTTTGAGGGAACAAAAACAAACAAGCAAACAAAAAAGCCTTAGGACATGAGAGACTTTGGGGTTCTAGTTTTGACTTTGCCTTTCCATGCGCCATTTTTCTGGTGTGACAGAGGTCAGGGTTACCTGTGTTGGTGATAAGTCACCCCAGATTGTGACAAGGAGATTCTGGCGGCTCTAGGAAGATAAAGTCTTTGCAGATCAACCCCCAGAGACCCCCGAGGGTTGATCTCTCTTTCCTAGTGGGAGGGACTCGGCCCTGCAGGCTGTCCCATGGGTGATGGTCTGGTCTCACCACCCTGGGTAGGGGATGCACTTACAGATGAAAGTCAGGAGGAGCCTCGGGACACGGAGAGCAAAGAAACACCGGCAGTGTCGCACAAAGGGATCTTCCGGCGTGCTCTGGGAGTCCACCTGGGTGCCGAAGGCCACACTGGCCACCACATTTGTGGTGTAACAGCAGTAACACCTGTGGCGGGAGAAACACTGGACTCTGAAAGACACCGTATTGACTTCCGCACAGTGCGTCCCTCCTAGTCTACATGGCTGGTCTTGGCACCACAGGGCTGGTGCGGCAGATCTGAGTTGGGCAGTGATAGGGAAGCTTCCTGAATGAGTACGAGCAGAAGCCTTCCGGGAGCCATGGGAGAGAGGCCAAGGGCATGGCATCACTGACTCAAGTTTTAGAACAGAGTTGGAACACCCAGGTGCACATCTTCGGAGGGGACTCTCTGTGAGGAGCAAAGCAGGAGCCCAAAAGTCTAGGGGCTTCAGCCCCATGCAGCACAGCCCTCCTCAGAAGCTAATGATTAACGGCAGCTGTCAAACCGGCATTGATGAACGAACCTAATTAGTTCATTTTATTAACTTCCCTCCCTTCTTCCTTCTCACGATTTGGAAGACTTTTTTGTTCTCTCTCTCTCTCTCTCTCTCTCTCTCTCTCTCTCTCTCTCTCTCTCTCTCTCTCTCTCTCTCTCCCTCCCTCCCTCTCTCTCTCTCTCTCTCTCTCTCTCTCTCTCCCTCCCTCCCTCACTCCCTCCCTCCTCTTTTTCTTTCTTTCTTAAGATGCATGTAATGCTGGCTAGCCTCTGCGTTTCCAGTGCTGGGACTAAAGGCAAGTTCTACAACACCTGGCGACTTTGCGGTTTTTGAAAGTGCAACAAACACTTGAACAGACAGCAGACAAACTTTGGGGCAGTCTTCCAGGATCCACTTACTACTGAAAACACCCATTGCCCCTGTCAAACAAACAAAAGTAAATGTGTCTTCCAATAGCCGGAGAAAATTCAACCTGAGGATAGGAAGCCTGTCCCTCCCAAAGGCCATTTTAAACTAGCGTTATTCTTTCATAAAATGTTATATACTTATTACTATTGTGTACGTTTGCACGGCGTGTGTGTGTGTGTGTGTGTGTGTGAGAGAGTGTGAGTGTGTGTCTGTGTGTGTGAGTGTGTGTGTGAGAGAGTGTGTGAGTGTGTGTGAGTATGAGTGTGTGAGTGGTGAGTGTGTGTGAGTGTGTGAGTGTGTGAGTGTGAGTGTATGAGTTTGTGTGAGTATGTGTGAATGTGAGTGTGTGAGTGTGATATGGGGGCATGGTGCCACCATGCACCTCACATGTGACAGTCAGAGGACAACTTTGCAGAGTCTGTTATTTCCTCCCGTCTTCCACACCCTGCCGTCTCCACTGTCAGCAGATTGAAACTGCACACATTTGTGTGGGTCAGTCGGCCTCTTTCTCTGTGTCATTTCTGAGGATCAAACTTCGATCACTGAGCTTCTCACAATTCCCTCTGACCTCTGAGCCACCTCACCAGTCCTTAAGACAGAAGAGGGCAGCAGATCTCATTACAGATGGTTGTGAGCCACCATGTGGTTGCTGGGAATTGAACTCAGGACCTCTGGAGGAGGAGCCAGTGCTCTTAACCGCTGAGCCATCTCTCCAGCCATCTTTTTTGTTTTCTTAAAGGCACTGCCATCTTAAGGTCTTTTAAAGGAGGCTAATAAACGAGTTGTTACTATCCGTCTATAATTGTGAGTCTGTGTTTGTCATGGATACAGCCACGTTCAGTTCCTCTTCTGCTTGAGTTCTGCAGCCCCAGCTTGTCAGTGGAGAAGGAATGCCGTGACTCGGTGGCTCTAAAATTCTGACTGCTTTTACTGAAGACGTTTCTACAGTTGACCACAGGCTTCCCTATTGAAGCAAAAGCTATGCGTGACTACTGGATGCGATTCCACCAGACCCTCGTGCCTAACGACTCCAGGCACTGAGGAGCCATTTGCTTTGCTTCACTAGTTGAGGAGGTCCTTCTCCTCCTCCACCTTCTATACAGTCCGAGAATGTGGACTAGAAGCCCTGTCAACAGTTGGGCACACCGTGAATGCTGGTGTTGACTGTGGATTTATTAGCAGTGATAACTGAGTTAGCTGTGGGTGACCTTCAGTCACTCTGGTCCCAGTCTGCTGCCAGCCAGCCACACTTTAGTGTAAAACATCTAACGGTTGCCAGGAGAAGAATCAGTCGCTTGCGTTGCCAGCTGTATATACCTAACATCACCCTCCTACCCACCATGGAACTTTAGCCCAGGCAGGCCTTGATCTTGTGGTCCTCCTGCCTTTGTTTCCTGAACAGGGCAGACCATATGCCTTGCTTATATGATTTTTTTTGTAATTTCTGATTTTTGCAGGTATCCCAGACAGGCCTTGAATTCCCCATGTACCCAATATCCAGAACACAGAGCTACAGGTGTATAGTGACATACCAGGTTTCACGCGGTGTTAGGGGTTAATTCCGGGGTTTTGTACACACCAACTAAATATTCTACCAACTGAACTGTAGCCTCAGCCTCATGACAGAGTCTCACTGTGCTGTCCTAACCTGGAACTCACTCTGTAGACCAGGCTACCTTCAGATTCACAGAGATCTGCCTGCCCCCGTTTCCCAAGTACTGGGGTGAAAGGTGTGTGCCACCACATATGACCTCACAATTTTTCTTGATATGAAAGTTTAGGGACTTTGCCCAAAGTCCCTGTCCTTCCTGCTAGGGCATGACTTGCCCATTACGTCCACGGAGGTCGGAGGATAGGTCTCTTCAGGGACTAACCATTGCGTATTTGAATTTCCTCAGCGGGCGGCATCTCTGGTTGCTTTGTATCATGGTTCAAGTGGGTTTCTTCTCATTAGTTAGTTCGTCTGTGCTGTTGGGAGCATCTGGCATTTTCAGTTGGCTACTCCCAAGGTAACTGTCCAGCAATTATGTACAGTCACAAGAATCAGCCACTCAGGGCTGTGGCTTCTCCCCTGTAATGGGGCAGCCTTACCTCTGGATGTCGAATGCGTCTCTTGATGCTGCGTAGAGTTTTAAGTGAGCCAGGAGACGTTCACAGGCTTGGCTGATGAGAGGTGTCATCTGATAATAGACAACAGAGGTGTAATTAGGGCATTGTGCCTGAATCGGCTGCAGATGATGGACAAGGTTGCACGTAATGCGTTCTGGAAAAGAAGATTGTATTTCCAAGGCACTTTCAATGAGGCTAAGATTAAGGGAGTATGCACAGTATCTGTAAATACAGTGTCTATAAATACCTATTTGAAGCTTAAGTAAGCTTTCTGTGGCAGAAGCACAAAAGAAAAAAGGATGAAAAGTAAATCTGGTGAAATAATTACGAAAGTGATCATTAAGTTTAGGCAAAACTTCAAATCAGTACCCGGCTTCCTTGACATGTGGTTAGCATTAGTGAGCTACTAGACCACACTCCGTATGTCCTGGCCCTGGAACTACCCCAAGTCCATGCATGCCTGCTCCAATTAAGCTTTCAGACCTCCCACCACAGCATAGAATCTAGTATCCAGAGGAACTGAGGGTCAGCCGTTCCAACTTTTAATTAACCCAGAAGTTATCTTGATGGTATTTCTGAGAGATGGATTTTCATTTGTTTCAGCAGCTTAAGCCTTCCAAGACGCGGTTACTCTTGACCTGCACAAGGCAACTGTTGGCTTCTTAGTATTAAAATACTTTATTGTGGAAAATGTTCTAACACCATGAGAAAGGTCTAGAGAGCGGTGCTATGCGCACCTACGTGGTGACAGCTATACACCTGCGTGGTGACAGCTGGCTCCAGCACATTTAGATGGCACGCTTGGCTGCGATCACGTTGACTTCCAACAGGATCGCTCAGATGGGTAGAATTCCTTATGGCCTTTTATTCTCTCCTACATATTTGAGAGGCAAAGCTCAAACTGTCAAGGGGGATCATTTGGACTAGGGTACATTCTAGAATAGCATCGTAGCTGAGCCAACATGTTATTGTAGGTTCTTCTGTGCATTTATGAAAATCATACTTTGAAACGGTGCCTGGTGTTTAGTTTCCATTATTATTATTTAAAACTGTATTTAAAATTAAAAAATTTTAGGTTTATTATGTGAACGGGTGTTTTGCCTATATGTGTGTGCGGTCACATGCTTGCCTGGTCCCGCAGAGGTCAGAAGAGGGCAGCAGATCTCCTGGAACTGGAGTCACAGGTGGTCGTGAGCCACTGTGTGGGAGCTGGGACCCAGATCCTGTGCAGGAGTGACAAAAGTTCTTAACCTCTGCCGGCCCGCCCACCCCCATTTTACTTTTAAGATTACGTGTGTGCTTGTCAATGGAGAGGCCTTGGGGAATCCTGGAGCTGGTGTTACAAGTGGTCGTAAGCCACACAACACAGACACTGGTAACTGAAACTGAGTTCTCTACAAGAGCAATATTCTTCTTACCCACTAGGACATCTCTCCAGCACCTGGTTCTTGTTGTTTTGATGTTAAAATATGGAGGGCCTGAAGCCAGAGGAGGCTTCTGTCTGTCTGTTCTACTCTTTTATTTATTTATTTATTTATTTATTTATTTATTTATTTGGTTTTTTGAGACAGGGTTTCTCTGTATTGTTTTGGAGGCTGTCCTGGAACTCGCTCTGTAGACCAGGCTGGCCTCGAACTCACAGAGATCCGCCTGCCTCTGCCTCCTGAGTGCTGGAGGCATGCACCACCAACGCCCGGCTCTACTCTTTTTTAATCTCAAGAATCTGAAACAGAACCCGGCACATGTAATTATGAGTTGGATGGATGGATGGGCAGATAGATGAATTTCAGTGATTATGCAATATCTGCTTTTTGCTCTTCAAATCTTAAGACACTGGGAAAAAAGTATAAAATGCTAATCTACTTGTCAGAGATACGCTATTGTATAGAGGCAAATTCCTCTTCCCTCTACTACAGTTTGGATGTAATGGATCCCCTTAGGATTGTGTAACCGAGGGGGTGGTGAGCCCTTAGGAGGCCAGGCCTAGCGGAAGGTCTCTAAGCTACTGGGAATGTGTCCTTCAGTGGACTATGGGCCCTAGTCTTTCCTAGTTCTCTCTTTCACTTTTGGCCTTGAGGTGAGAGGTTTTCTCTGCATGTGCCGCCATCATGAACCACACAACAATGGGTCCAACCAGCCACACGCTGAAACCTTTAAAACTGTGAGCCATAGCGTAGCACCTTTCCTTTTTCTAAGTGTTTGTTACCGTGATGGGGAGCGGACTGATATATATTACAGCAGCTTCCCTGGTTTCATAGTTTGTACACCTTTCTCTATTCTTATTTCTCCTCTTAAAAAAAGTTAGTCCCGAACAGTAGCCCATAGGTAGAACACAGTCCTGTTCCAGACACTATCTAGTAAATAGTAAATTAATCACATTCTGTGATCTTCACACCGTAAGCCAGCAGCAAGGTCAGGTTTACGTTGACTGCTACAGAAGACGCACCACAAACAAATATCAAGGTCAATGAAAAATTCAGGTCAATGAAAGCCATGCAGTCTTTTCCCATGAATCATAACTGTATGCAACCAATTCTTTAACTCTATGGGTCCATTCATTAGAAAGGTTTTGTGTTTGTTTTTTTTTAAATTTTTCTATATTTTAAAAAAGTTTTATCTGTATGGGTATTTTACCTGCATGTAATGTTATGAATGAATCACGATGTGCAGTACCTGTGGAGTCCAGATCCCCTGTGACTGGGGTTACAGACAGTTACGAGCTGCCATGTGGGTGCTGGGAACCAAACCCAGGTCCCCTGGAAGAGCAACTGGCCTACTGCTCCATCTCTCTAGCCCTGGGCTTTGCGTTTCTTTTTCTTTTTTTTTGTTTTTTTTTTTTTTGTTTTTTTTTTTTTTGAGACAGGGTTTCTCTGTATAGCTTTGGAGCCTATCCTGGCACTTGCTCTGTAGACCAGGCTGGCCTCGAACTCACAGAGATCTGCCTGCCTCTGCCTCCCAAGTGCTGGGATTAAATGTGTGTGCCACCAACGCCTGGCAAATTTTTAGAAATGTGTTGCTTTCTCTTTTTGGTTTAGTTTTTGTCTTTTGAGACAGGGTTTTTCTGTGTAACTTTGGAGCCTGCCCTGGAACCCGCTCTATAGACCAGTCTGACCTGGAACTCACAGAGATCCGCCTGCCTTTATCTCCCGAGTCTTGGGATTAATGGAGTGTACCACCACTGCCTGGCTGGGCTTTGCATTTCTATTGCTTTTATTTCCACAGAAAGCTGTCTTCAGCTGTTCTGGGAAGAACAACCCCCTAAACTACCCTAAAATCCTGGACATGTATGAACAGTCTGGTCAGCTGTTGAGATGTCGGGGGATGTGTGGCTGTGTTGGGGCCCTCCCTTCACAGCTTTCTGTCAGCTGTCCCCATATGCCCTATGGGGACACACTTATGACATCGGGGCTTCATTACCTGCACCGGTGTGAGAGCCTTGTAGGAGGGAGCTGGTCTGAGAAGCCCAAGGGCATTCCTATGACTCAAAGTGGAACAGTAACCATTCCTTCTTTGTTCCATGCCTTCTTGGTAATGTGCCTTCTAAATTATCATTCACCTCATGATTATGCAAACTGGCCTAAGCACAGACCTGTGACCCCTCACTGGACAGTTACTTTAGGTGTCTGCAGAAAAGTTCAAAATCTTTTGGCCAGTCCGAACGAACCCAAGTAAAAAATCAGCCTGGTACCACCTTCCCAAGGAGGAGACCTTGTCAGGGATTGGCTGAAGCAGGAGAGTCATTGACCCAGCTGTCTATCCTGAAGTCCATTCAGGACAGAAATGCTTAGGGTGAGTCCGGCTTGGTTTTGGTGACTGCATCAATTCTTCACGGCAGAGGCATTCTCTTCTAAATTCTCACAAACCATCCACTGAATAATTCATCATACAAGAATGCGTGTAGATGGATCCCTTAAAATGTCTCCCAGACCATCATTCCGAAGAAATCTGACTTTCTTAATACTTGGAAAACTCAATACTATCTAAATTATATCTCAATAGCTAGCTTCTCTGGTTGCCATTCTCAAGTTATTTTCTGGAACTTATTTATTTACTCAGTATGTATGTGTGCGTATGCATGTACCATGGTGACATGCGGCTGTCAGAGGACAACTTGCCGGTTGGCGTTCTCCTTGTACCTTGGGGCTTCCAGAGAAGAAACTAGTCAGTTTGGCAATAAGAGCCTTTACCTGCTAATCCCTTCAATTGTCCTAATAACAGTAGTTTTTCAAGTAAATCTTATTTTAATAAAATATTGAAAATGGAAGCTTTTTAAAAATGTATGCAAACATATTTCAGAAGAGCATTTAAAAACAAGCTAGGAAACAAGGAGGACCCTTGGATGCATGGTCCCCCGGAGAAGGGGAAAGGGACAAGATCTCCTGAGCATGGGGGGGAGGGGTGAGAGGGAGTTAGGAGAAAGAGAAGGGGAGAAGAAGAGGGGGGGAGGAGGACAGGAGAGAGCAGGAAGATTGAGTTGGGGGAAGAATAGAGGAGAGAAAGTTAAGAGATACCTTAATAGAGGGAGCCATTATAGGTTTAAAGAGAAATCTGGCACTAGGGAAATGTCCAGAGATCCACAAGGATGACCCCAACTAAGAATCTAAGCAATAGTGGAGAGACTACCTTAAATGCCCTTCCCTTATAATGGGATTGATGACTGCCATATATGCCATCCTAGAGCCTTCATCCAGTAGCTGATGGAAGCAGAAGCAGACACCCACAGCTAAACACTGAGCTGAACTCCAGGAATCCAGTTGTAGAGAGTGAGGAGGGATGAGCAAAGGGGTCAAGAGAAACCCAAAGAAACAACTGACCTGACCAAGTGAGAACGCACAGACCCCAGTTGTAAAGCTGGGGAACCAGCCTTGGACTGAACCAAGCCTGCTGAATGTGGGTGCCAGCTAGGAGGCCTGGGCAGTCTATGGGGGTCTGACAGTGGAACCAGTATTTATCCCTAGTGCACAAATGGACTTTGGGAGCCCACTCCCCATGGAGGGATGCTCTCTCAGTCCAGATACAGGGAGGAGGGCCTAGGCCCTCCCCCAAATGATGTGACAGACTTTGACGATCC